TTACATAATGTAAGGTGTAAGAAGGGATGACTAATTGTAAGTTAGAAAGGAGACAGAAGTTGGCATGACGTAATAAGTGTGAGATAGTGAATAATCAATAATCTCGTGTGAAATGGACAGGAACTAGTGGAAAGGCTATAAAGTGTTTTTGTATAAAATATGTATGAAAAACAATGTTATTAATAAACAGTAATAGAGTGGTAATAAAATGTGGATGATGGGGACAAAATGATAATAATAATAAAAAAAAGTATTAATAAAATAAAATAATAATGGTAATAATAGTGAACTTACATAATAAAGGAAAGAAGCAAAATTGTGATAAGAACTTTACTCTGGCCATGGTAAGGCAAGAGAATGTATGTATCGCTTTTGTATGCAGAGGTCCGGTTTTAGATCTCGAATAGCTAATGCTTCAGCTATGTACAGATGGCGAATCCGAAGTCCCTTTGTACGATATTGAGGGACTCTGTGTAACACTGTGAAGCATTCATGTGGGGGTGCTCGATGTCCAGAGATGACAAGGTGTTCAAGGATCGAGCTGTTGCTATTCTTCTTTTCTCCTCTGGCCAACCAAGCGGGGCAGTGTTCCAGAATACGTTTTTGGACTTGACGTTGCGTACGGCCAACTTCTGTCTCCTTTCTAACTTACAATTAGTCATCCCTTCTTACACCTTACATTATGTAATACAATTTTCCAAGGACAAAATTTACCAGTATCTGATTGGTCTAAAGATTTCTTTGTTAATTATAATTACGATTGTACAGCTCATGAAAATGAATCGTCGAAAAGAAAATTTTCTTCGCTGTTTGTGCCTTTTTCTTTGTGTCTGTGTCAGATCATCCATATGCTAACTGTATCCACCTACGCAAAGCCTTTGTTCTCATCATTTTCTCACCACCAATATTGGGGACATAAACATTGACGTCAATTACTGTCTAACAATTTGGCTAGCAGCCAAGTGTTGAGTCCCTTCTACTAAACATATTTTCAGTTAATTGGATAAATAAAGCTTCTGCTATCTATTTCTTCCTCCATCCTGCTTACATTTTGGATGCGTCAGTTTTATGGGATTTCTTCTGTAAAACCACTTAAAAATTAAAGTATGTTATTATTAATATTATTATTATTATTATCTGTATAACCATTGTAATTTCAGGTAGTGTTGTGCAGTTGATGAGAAGCTGTGGAGTAGAATGGTGACATCATATTTTATACTGCAAATCTGTGTGCGTCGGTGGCACAGTGATTAGGACTCTCGCCGACCATGAACATGGTTCGGGGTTCGATCGCCTGGCGACGCACACCTGATATCTATGGTCGACCTGAAAAATTTGGGCTACCGAAATCACATGTTGAAAATTCCATACCTGTACCAAAAAATACGGTGTGGAATCAAGCTGTAATCAAAAAATAAAAAATATTGTTATTATTAGCTCACTTAAGTAGATTTGATACCCTTTCATTAAAGGCTGTCGTTGTCCACATTCAGTATTAGGCATAAATGAAAGAAAACGTAAACTTACTACTGTGAAACGCGTTACTGTACCTCTTTCAAATTATAATCTAACGTGTTTATTAAATAATTAATATATCCGTATTTTTTTTCTCGAGAAAGGTTTACATATTCACATGGATTTTAAAAATTAAATGATTTCATGAAGAGTATTTTTTTTAGTTTTAACAATTTTTTGGTTTAATCATATGCAGCATCGAAATGTACTTCGTTCAGCTGAGCATAGATCATTATTCATATCGAATTTGTTTCGACCTTTGTATTCTACCTGAAAAATATATTAAAGTAAAATCGTTAAGCTTCGATTTATCAGTAGCACTGGTGTTATTCTTACGGGTTGAAATTTCTGGCCCCACAGTTGGCTTGCACTCTTTTTTGGAGTTCACTATCCACTGGAGTCCCAAACCAGGACGACAGAAACAGCTGTCCAGTACTCCCAGTGGCTCTTTTTCAGTGGCTCTCTAACTGATGTCACTCATGATGAAATCCTCCAACCAATCAAACAAAATCCGTACAAAACCCATACTTGAAAATCTTTTTAATCATTTCCATTGCACAAAGCAGTGACTGACACATACATAAATAAGTATCTTCCATCTTTCAAGGAGATGCCTGGTGATGGCACTGTTTAAAGCATTTGTTCCCTTTAGACATAAGCCTTTTCGTACATGTCCAGAAAATCATAGATAGACCCTTCCTTATTCCTGTTCTTCCAATGTAACTGCTCCCGCAGATACATGTCCAGTATTTATTTCTAAGTAGTGGGCTCCTGAAAGACACTGTGAAGTATTGAAGTGTGCCTGTCCTCTAGTGGTATTATTATTATTATTCCCTTTAGGTTACGCCTGAACCATACAGTTTCATCAGTACCCCCCCATTACACTGCGTTCTCGTGTGACGTCAGTCAACAGTCTCCTCAGCGTATGTCCGCACCAGTGTTAGAGTAACAACAGAAGACAAGGGCCAGGCAACAGATCCTTTAATAAGGAAAATCAACACATATTTATAGATTTTAATGTACATTATTGTAGATTATTGTTAGTAGAAAATACAGTCTTTTGATTGGTTGTTTCTCACAGAAACTTAACCTTGCATCTCTTTGTGGCTGTGTCAGATCATATATATGCTAACTAGTCGGTCAAATCTTGACGACAGTTCATTTGAATTATTTTGCTATCGAATTAAATTAATAAATAAGTATGATATGGTTTCATTCGTTATCTGAACAAATGCACATCCTAAATCCGTAGCTGTCGAGTCACCTGACAACTCCAGTAGGTCGAATAAAGACATATCAACAATGAATATCGACGTTTAACTAACTCTAATCCTAAACACCATAATTTTGAAAATACGTCTAATCGTAAAATTCTAGATACTAGCAGTTTGAACGGACATGAAGGTTTGATGTTAGCTGATGCATAGGAAATCCTTATTAATAAGTAAAAAAATGGATATGTATCACTAATTAATAATACTTGGTCAAATTCCTGACTGTCTATATCTTCCTATGGAGACGTTAAGAAATGTTTTACAACTGTTTACCCACACACACATACACACTCTGTTTAAAGTGTTTAACAAAGGTAGACCAATATTTGTAAGTCCGAAGTCAAATTTTGATCACAGCTCATACAATTTTGTTTATTATACTTGTTAATACCTGTGTTTATGAATCATGATTGGACAAAGTTTTTAAAAACAAAAGATGTGCCTTTTATATATAAAAGCTTGTTATGTAATTTATATCTAACTGTATCCGCCTACGCAAAGCCTTTGTTCTCATCATTTTCTCACCACCAATATTGGGGACATAAACATTGACGTCAATTACTGTCTACCAACTTTGGCTAGCAGCCAGCTCTCACCACAATTCTAGGTCTAGCTTAATTGGTGCCAGTCGTGCTAAATCACGAATTGGTGTAAGTTAGAATTCATGCATGGGCTAGAGTCATTGAATCGGATCCCAGTGGCTGCTAAAATGGTATACGAGTCAGCTTGCCTTGTAAACTCGAAGGACTCAAGGTTTGAACTCCCCTTTTGGCAGGTGCGTACACTAATGATGAAGAGTCAGTCCCAGACAAGGACGAAACAACTGTCCACTACTCCTTTTTGGGTTTTCCAATGGTTCAACCGGCACATGTCAAGTGATCCACAACGGAAAACTCAGCGAGGCGTTTGGAGTAAACACAGGAGTCAGACAAGGGTGCTTATTATCACCAATGATATTCCTAATTGTGGTGGACTGGATTATGCGTCAGACAGTGGGAAACGAGAAGACAGGGATATCCTGGACCGACGTGAAAAACCTAGAAGACCTAGATTTCGCGCGTGGATGATTTATGTTTGATGTCACAAAAAATCGAAGACTTACAAGCGAAAACTGACAAACTGGTCGAAGAAGCAGCAAAGACAGGACTCCAGGTGAACATAGACAAGACGGAGGTTATGAAAATAACCAACCAACAACAACAACAGCAGCAACATCCAGCGCCAATCACCATCAACGGGAGGGATTTGAAAGAGGTTACTTCATTCACTTATCTAGGGAGCATTGTCTCAACTACAGGAGGAACGGACTAGGATGTCAAATCGAGAATCAGGAAGGCGAGAAACACATTCATCAACCTGAAACCAATCTGGAAATCTTCGTCACTCAGCATCAACAACAAAATTCGGATTTTCAATACAAACGTCAAGTCAGTCAGTTCTTCTACACGGATCAGAAACTTGGCGGCGGGTCACAAAGAATATTTCCAACAGCCTGTTGCAGACCTTTATCAACAACTGTCTTCGCTGGCTCTATACTCAAGATCAGATGGCCGGAAAGAACAAGAACCAACAAGAAACTATGGGAACAAACAAAACAAGAACCAATCGCTCAACAAATATGCAGGAGAAAGTGGAGATGGATTGGACACTCGCTGAGGAGGCCGCTGGGTGACATCGTGCGTCAGGCCATAGCTCGAGTGGAACCCGAAAGGGAAGCGGCGAGTGGGACATGGTCCAAGGGTGACATGGAGGAGATCGTGTGAAGAGGAGTTGAAACAGTATGGACTAACATGGATGCAGGTGAAAAGTACAGCAGAAGACAGAAGCAAGTGGAGACGTGTAGTTGAAGCCCTATGTTCCACTAGGAACCCAAGGGAACAATAATAATAATAATGGTTCAACCAATTTAATGTCAACCTGTAATCAAACTTGTATAATCTAACTATGACAATCGGAAGTAAACTATTATCACTCTGACAAACCAGTACATGTACGTATGCATGTATGTAAGTATGTATGTGTGTAAGTATGTGGGTATGTTCTTTCTCTTCTACATACATACAAGGTCTTGGCTAACAACACTGAGTGAATGAAACCAGGCGTAATTATAAAGTAAGAATTTAACTTTAACTGGCGACTAGTCTCATGATGTCTACACACACACACACACACACACATACACACACACAACATAAATAGCGCACAACCTCGTAGACATTAATTTTTATTTACAAACATATTTATTTACTTTTAAATGAGAATACATTCCATGTGACACTTGAAAAATACAAAATAATAATAATAAGCATATTGTTATAAAAAAAGAAAATTTAATTTCTCTGTTATATAGATAGATAGATAGATAGATACATTGACCGATTATATATAATTACTCTCTGAAATGAATATATATATTTCATCTTATATCCATTGAATTAAAGTATGCAGCTAAAGAGATGGCCAGTCCAATACAGACAATTTCTACACTAATAAATGAAAAAACAAGAATGATCACAGTAATTAAGAATTTGCCGCCAAAATCCGTCAACGCATCAGTACAACCCTGTGTAACAAGAAAAACAAAAAAAAGAGAAAAAAAAAATTATTCAAAGATGACATTCCAATTGATTATTGTATCAAAAGTTACTTAAGAGTTACATATGTTGAATATAAATAGATTTGTTGATATCTTACAGGGTGTTTAGAACAAGGCAAATAAATATATATATTCGATATTCTTTTTGCCAGATGTCTTTTCTTAAATAAGATTGATTATTATTATTGTTCCCTTGAGTTCCTAGTGGAACATAGGGCTTCAACTGCACGTCTCCACTTGCTTCTGTCTTCTGCTGTACTTTTCACCTGCATCCATGTTAATCCATACTGTTTCAACTCCTCTTCACACGATCTCCTCCATGTCACCCTTTAGACGTCCCACTCGCCGCTTCCCTTTCGGGTTCCACTCGAGCACTGGCCTGACGCGCGATGTCACCCAGCGGCCTCCTCAGCGAGTGTCCAATCCATCTCCACTTTCTCCTGCATATTTGTTAAGCGATTGGTTCTTGTTTTGTTTGTTCCCATAGTTTCTTGTTGGTGATTCTTTCCGGCCATCTGATCTTCAGTATAGAGCCAGCGAAGACAGTTGTTGATAAAGGTCTGCAACAGGCTGTTGGAAATATTCTTTGTGACCCGCTGCCAAGTTTCTGATCCGTATAGAAGAACTGACTGACTTGACGTTTGTATTGAAAATCCGAATCATTTGTTGTTGATGCAGGCTGAGTGACAGCGGAAGATTTCCAGATTGGTTTCAGGTTGATGAATGTGTTTCTCGCCTTCCCGATTCTCGCTCGATTTGACATCCTCGTCCGTTCCTCGTGTAGTTGAGACAATGCTCCCTAGATCAGTGAGTGAATGAAGTAACCTCTTTCAAATCCCTCCCGTTGATGGCGATTGGCGCTGGATGTTGCTGCTGCTGTTGTTGTTGGTTTGTTATTTTCATAACCTCCGTCTTGTCTATGTTCACCTGGAGTCCTGTCTTTGCTGCCAGCCTCTTCGACCAGTTTGTCGGTTTTCGCTTGTAAGTCTTCGATTTTGTGTGACATCAAACATAAATCATCCACGCGCGAAATCCAGGTCTTCTAGGTTCTTCACGTCGGTCCAGGATATCCCTGTCTTCTCGTTTCCCACTGTCTGACACATAATCCAGTCCACCACAATTAGGAATATCATTGGTGATAATAAGCACCCTTGTCTGACTCCTGTGTTTACTCCAAACGCCTCGTTGAGTTTTCCGTTGTGGATCACTTGACATGTGCCGTTGTCGTACAGCTGTTGAATAAGGTTGATGAATATTTGGGGTACGCCGTAGTACTCGAGTAGTTTCCAAATTACTTCGCGGTCAACGCTGTCGAAGGCCTTCTCAAAGTCTATGAAGTTGAGGTAGAGGTTTGATTGCCATTCCATGCTTTGTTCGATGATGATGCGTAGAGTTGCAATTTGGTCAGAACATGATTTGCCTTTCCTGAATGCAGCTTGTTCTGGTCGGAGTTCTGTATCCAGTGCGTCCTTTATTCTCTCCAGGATGATACGAATCAGAATTTTACTTGGCGTTGACAGGAGCGTGATTCCTTACCAGTTATTGCAGAGTCCTAAGTCACCCTTCTTTGGTAGTTTCAAGAGGTAACCTTTCCTCCAGTCAGTAGGCTACTTTCCCTCCTTCCAGACTTTTTGCAATAATGGAGTCAGCATATCTGCTGTCGTCTCTGGGTTGGATTTCAGTGCTTCAGGGGGGTATTCCATCTGGTCCAGCTGCTTTACCAGCTTTCAGAATCTTGATTGCATTCAAGACTTCAGCTTTCGTTGCAGGATTGGTGTCAACTTGCAGTTGTGTACGTGCTGCTGTTGGTATTTCTGGAAGGGTTGCAGGTGGTGATCGGTTCAAGTGTTTTTTGAAGTGATCTGCCCATTGTTTAATCTGTCTTGCATGACATTAACTAAACTAAGTCCTTGACTGTTAACTGGTTGCAATCTTGTTTCTCTAACGGAAATGCAGTTATACTGTAGATAAAAGCTAACTGAAGCTGGAGTCCCTCGAGATGCTGTGCTCTCTCCTCCTTCTATTTCTTTCTTTTTACATGACTTGCATTGTTCGGAGAAAATTACCTTTGTTAAATATGCTGACGGACTTATTGTTTCGTTGCCAATTACACTTCCCGAACTGGTTGTTCCAAACTAAATAGCCATTTCACAGGATTTCATCATCATGAGCTGACATCGGATAGAGAACCATTGGAAAGCCTGCAGGAGTACTGGACGGCTATTTCGTCCCAGTGGTCGGGATTCTTCAACAGTACGCACCCACCACCCACAGGGTTCGAATCCATCACCTTCTGGTTACAAGGCGAGCACGTAAGCCATTCAGCAGCCACTGAAACTTGATCCAATGGCCAGTCTATTAATTCCAACTTCTGGCAATTCACGACATAGCGCGACCGCTAGCCAATATCTTATGGCGTGTACAAACCAATACTTGAATATCAATGATGCTCACTAACGACTGGCCCTATTCAGGTAGGTAGGTAGTTACCTGGGATTCTACTGTGAAGTCGTGACAAGTAGGGTACAGCAGGTCGGGTGTGAGGACAAATACTCGCCAGCGATAACATTGGCTAGTGGCCGTGCTATACCGTGAATTGGTAGAAGTTGAAATTCATGGACTGGCCACTGAATCGCGTCCCAGTGGCTGCTGAATGGTCTGAGAGTTCGCTGGCCTTGTAACCAGAAGGTGCTGGGTTTAAGCCACGACGGTGGGTGCGTACTGCTGAAGATTCCCAAACTAGGACAAAACAGCTGTCCAGTACTCCCTGCAGGTTTTCCAATGGTTTCCTAACCGATGTCAGCTCATGATGAAACCCACCAACCAGTCAATCAGTCAAATCCCTACAAACCAATTACTGAATTTAAAGGAATACTTGACCGTGTTGACATGATATCCGGCTATCGATCAGAGGACATGTGTACTGCTTACCAATCCACTCTCTAGACTTCTCTATGACTGTGAGACATGGCTATTGAAAGTGAAAGACTTCGATGAGACTAGTTGTCTTTGACCAAAGATATCTGCATTCTATCTCCTGTATAAAGTAACGTAATATATGGTGAGTAATATTGAGGTTAGACGTAGCGCGTGTTAAATAAGGACGGCAGGTTAGTCAATATAGCTGTAAAGCTACACCGTATGAGATGGCTAGGACACGTGTCACATGTGTCGAACAACTGCCCTCCGCGTGGATAAATGTTAGCTGACATAGAATTTCGTTGGACCAAAAAAAGAAATTTGTGGTATTCGAGCCAAAATCTAGTATCAATTCATGAAGTTTGTGACTTGGTAGGACCCACGTTGGCAGGTTATACTGTTTGATTGGAATCATATAAGCATTGAAAACCAGTGACTGAAGGTTATTAGTAATATGACTCAAAGTAGTTCCTAATTGACTGAGATGCATTCAATCCTTAGAGTCTTTCAAATGTATTAAGCCCTCATTTTTTCCATGTTATTATTTTACCTATTGAATTGTTTTTCTTTCCTCTAAGTTAGTGTGTGCTACACATGGAGTGTAACAACTTGAACTGACGCACTTCTGTACAAAGCCCCACGTTGAAACTCTTTTATTCAATCATTGTACTGGAGAAGGTGTGGAAAGAAGGCAAAGTACCCGAGGATTGGAAGAAAGGATACTTATTCAAACTACCAAAGAAAGGAGACTTAAGTTAATGCAAGAACTGGAGCGGAATTATGCTCCTGTCCATCCCAAGCAAAATACTAAGCCGCATCATCCTGGAGAGAATCAAACATGCTGTGGATGAAAAACTTCGACCAGAACAGGCTGGATTCAGGAGAAACAAGTCATGCATTGATCAGATCCTCACATTGCGGATCATCATTGAACAAAGCTTGGAATGGCAGTCACCTCTCTATCTCAACTTCAACGACTTTGAAAAGGCATAAAATGGACTCACAAAAAACTTGTAGGATCTGGACTTCGCCGATGATATAGGTCTGATTTCCCACAAACTGCAAGCGAAAAGCAACAAGTTGGCAGAAGAAGCATCAAAGATAGGACTTCCTTCAGGTGAACATAGAGAAAACAGAGGTGATGAAAATTCCTGGCCAACACCATCAACAGCAACAACAACAACTGACAACAATCAGCATAAATGGGAGGAACCTGAAAGAAACAACCTCCTTTACCTACCTTGGATGCATCGTTTCAACTACAGGCAGAAGGAACTGACGAGGATATCAGAGCAAGAATCGGAAAAGCAAGACAAGCTTTCACTACTCTCAAGTCTGTGTGGAGGTCAACAGCATCACTCAGCATCAAAAATAACATCCGGATTTTCAACTTCAATGTGAAGTCAGTGCTACCCATTATACGGATCAGAGACTTGCACTGCGCGTCATAAACAGCATCTCAAACAAACTACAGACCTTCATTAACAGTTGTCTTTGCTCAATACTCAAGATCAGATGGCCGGCCGGCCAGAAAAGATCAGCAACAGAGATCTCTGGCAATGAGCGAACCAACCCAGCAGGAACCAATTGTGCGACAAATAGGCAGGAAGAAATGGAGATGGATTAGCTGACCATACTCTGAAGAAACCATCAAGTGACATCACTAGACAAGCCATTGCTCGAGTGGAAGCCGAAAGGGAAGCGGCGAGTTGGTCGTCAGTGCGAAGGTGGGGTGACTTGGAGGAGGAGGTCATGTGAAGAGGAGATGAAAGCGTGTGGGCAGACTTGGAGCCAGGTGAACACTGTAGCAGAGAACCGAACGCAATGGAGACGCACGGCTGAAGCCCTATGTTCCTCTAGGAATTAAAGGAAACAATAATAATATGTAATAATATTCAATATTGTACAGTCAAATAGATGAGCATCTCCTTCTTGAGAATACTGAGGAAGCAGCATGATCTTCATATACATCATATTAGACTACTGGGATGGTGGTTTTTAAATAGTGCGAGAACAGTACACTAATAAATGGCCTATAATATTCCAGTTTTAGTTTCGTGTGCATCAATAACATAGTCTACCATCTTGATTACGAAATGAACTGACTGAGTTTCACCACGCAATTTTCGACAGAAATGTGGCAGTTCAACTTGCCATGCCAGGCTCCATATAGCACACAAAAGAAACACCTTCACAGGAACGATGAAGAACGGAAAACTTTTGAAGAAGAAGAAATAAGTATATTAGGAGGATTGATGATCCAACAAATCTAAGAGATCATGTGCCGATGAGAACAGTTTTGAGCCAGCTGTTGGTTCACAGCGCCCTGAAAACTCCAGCCAGACAGTATTCACCTCAGGCAAGGAAGGCGACAACTGGGGGCATGTGTGACACCACAACCTCATATACTGATCTAACCTCCTTAGCTAACACTCTACGCCTAGCTTCAATATCACTCACCACATTATTATATGCGGACAACCATGGTCAAAAGACAGGTAGCCCGCTTCAAGTCCTTAAACGGTCAGTAATCACACCTAACAGGAATAACGAAACCTAGATTAAACTGATGCGTAGCATAGTCGTCCTCTGATCGGTGAAAATTAGCAAATGATATATATGACTTTTTTCGTCGGCAATCTGTTTTTTAGGGTTGGTTTATGAAACAAAAGAAAATATTGTGTGCTTGTTGAGTGGTTGGTTTACTTTCTCTACCCTTGAATTTCTTCTTCTGGTTTATTGAGTTGCTACACGAATCTTACAGCGCACGCGTTTTTTTCTGAAAATTATTTACCAACAGGCTAACTAACGCTTGACGTGACAATATTCGTTTCAGACATTTATGAAATAACATTTTTATGCAACTATACCAAACCAGATTAGTTGTCTTCGATCATAAGTATCTGCATTCTATTTCCCGCGTGAAGTGGTGTGATAAGGTGAACAATATTGAGGTTAGGCGTCGAAAGCTAGGTAAGGCGGGGAAACCAATAGACGAGACTATGAAGTTACATCGACTGAGATGGTTAGGACATGTGCTACGTATGCCTAGTCATCGCCTTCCTAGACGGGCAATGTTAGCTGATATGGGGCCAGGCTGGAAAAGAGCTAGCGGCGTTCAAACTAAAACATGGCTTTATCAGTCAATGAAATCTACAACAGTTAATCTAAGCCACGTAAGAAGGTGTAGACTTCCTGGTTGGGGTCCTCGAGACGGTAAAAACCAATGGTTGGAAACAATTGGTGACATGGCTCAAAATCGTTCTCAATGGCGCAGATGCATCCACTCCTTGTGACTAATGATTTCCAATGAAACTGTTTTGTTCTTCGTTATTACTATTCCTTTGTCTCACACCTCTGTTTACTGTCTCTCTTATGCATTTCTCTTACTTTCTCTCTTGCTTTGTGTGCTACAAGAAGGGAGTGTGGCGACTTGAACTGCCGCACATATGTGCAAAGTTCTATGTCGAAAACCGACCGGCGACCGATACCGAACCACCGTCTACTTCAGGCAAAAACTGAAATAAGTCTGGGTTTGAGAAAAAATTAAAAAGATGATTTAACCAAAAAAGTGACATAAATCCATGATTTCTTTAACCACTGGGCAAAAACCAGGTAGAGAAGAGGTGTTCTTTTTTACACCGAAGCACTATCTCAATGAATTTTATTTTAAGGCTAACGTCCTAGCAGTCTAACTGACTGACTAGTTTCAACATAGAACTTTGCACAGATGTGCAGCAGTTCAAGTCGCTACACTCCACGTAGCACACAAAGCAGGAGAAGAGAGTAGAGGAAGATTCAAAACAGAGATAAAAAACAGATATATAAGGCGAAAAATAGTGATATGGAAGAACAATAAAATTTTACTGGATATGATAAATCACAAAGAGTGGATGTATCTGTGCCAGCCATTGAGAACGATTTTGAGCCATATCACCAATTGTCTCCAGCCTCCACTGGTTTCTACCATCCCTAGGACCTCAACCAGGAAGCCAGTCTACATCTTCCTACTTGGCTTGCTTAAGCTAACTGTTATGGATTTCATTGACTGATGCAGCCATGTTTCAGTTTGACCACTGCTAGCAGCTCTTTTCCAACCTGATACATCCTATGTCAGCTGACATTGCCCGTCGTCAAGGAAGTGATGGCTAGGCTACGTAACACGTGTCCTAACCATCTCAATCTATGTAACTTCACAGCTTCGCCGACTGATTTCTCCTCCTCACCTAGCACTCGACTGAGGCCTAACCTCAAAATTGATCCCCCTAGTATACCACTTCACACGGTAGATAGAACGCGGACACCTATAATCAATAATAGCTAGCCAACAGGCTTTTCATGTCCTCCACTTTTAATGGTCAGGTCTCCCACCCAGCAGTATAAATGCAATGCAAGTGGACATAAACCTGCAAAACCCCACCCCATTATAAAAAAAGATTACCATCTAATACAACTTCTTTAGCACTCAAGACAATATCCAGTTAAGATTATTTCCAATAAGCTTCAACAGTTCACTGTCAGGAGTGAATACACTTACATAATCTCCCAGGACTTATAAAAGCATTTTGAAATTCTTCGACAGCGTGGACTGAGAAGTAATTTGGAAACTACTTCAATACTACGGCCTACCTCAAGTCTTTGTCAACCTCATTCAACAGCTGGCTGTATGACAATGCCACGTGTCAAGTGATCCACAAAGGAAAACTCAGTGAGGCGTTCGAAGTGCATACAGGAGTAAGACAAGGCTGGCTGCTTATTATCACCAGTGATATTCTTAATTGTGGTGGACTAGATTACGGGGTGAGAGACTGTGGGAGTGAGACCTCAGGAATACGTTGGACTGATGAGAAAACTCTGGAAGAACTGGATTTCGCAGATGATATATGTTTAATGTCACACAAACCCGAAGACTTGCAGGCGAAAACTAGCAAACTGGCTGAAGATGCAGGCAGCGAAGACAGGACTTCACATGAACACAGAGAAGACAGAGGTGTTAAAGATAATCAACGAACTGCAACAACAACAACTAGCACCAATCACCACCAACGGGAGAGATTTACAAAGGTTACCCCCTTCACTTATCTAGGAAGCATGGTTCCAACCACAGGCACACGGCACGGATGAAGATGTCAAAGTCAGCCAGAAAGAATTTGAAAGGTGAGATACGCTTTCATCAACCTGAAATCAGTTTGGAAATCATCTGTACTGCACTCAGCATAAGGAACAAGATTCGCATTTTCAACACCAATGTCAAGTCGGTACTTCTATACGGGTCAGAAACTTGGCGTGTCACGAAAAGGATTTCCAATAGGTTGCAGATTTTCATCAACAGCTGCCTTCGCTTCATACTGAAGATCAAATAGCTACCTAGAAAGAATTAGTAACAAGAAACTCTCACCGGGAACTAACCAACCAAGAGCCGATTGTTCAATTAATATGTGGGAGAAAATGGAGATGGATCAGACATTCATTGAGGAAACCGTCGAATAACAAGTGAAATCGAAATGGGAAGCGACAAGCGGGTCTTTGCTACGAGGGTGACATAGAGGAGATTGTGTGCGTTGGATGAGGAGATGAGGGATTATGGGCAATCGTGGACCCAGCTTAAGAGGACGGCAGAATACAGAAGAAAGTGGCACCCTACGTTCTACTGGGAACCTAAGAGAACAATAATAACGAAAAGTAAAATGATAAAAATCTGGAAGATCATAGGGATTGAATGTTTCTGTGCCATTGTTAATGATTGTGAGCCATATAACCAACAGTCTCCATTCACTGAGTCTTAGAGTATTGAGAACGCCAGGCAGGTGGTCTACATCGCAACAGGAGAGGCAATAACTTAGCATGCATAATACGTATCCTAGCCATCTGAATCGACGCGGCTTCACAACCTCATCACTGATTGACCAGCTCCCCTCACCTAACACTCTACACCTAATCTAAGTACTACTCTTTATTTTATACAAGTCAACATGGAAGACAGAACGCAAACACCTACAATCCCTAGTAATATGAACTTTCACTAGCGAGGCAGTACACTAGTGTCACTTACAAAGCTCTGACATTTGTCGGTAGTCAGATTTAACGTATGTACTATTCATTCCTCTTGTAAAATCCATATTGGAATGAGGATTTTGAAACCTCTTAAAAGAGACTCCCATATCTATTGAATAATTCCTCGAATTAAAATTTCCACTTTCATCTTATGGAATCAAACTTAAACAACATAAAAGCTGTGACAAAGGTAAATAACGTCGAAGCCAGAGAGTTTCAGAATGACGAACAGAATTTGACCATATATGTCTACGTAAACTTCTGTGGAGAAAAATTGACAAAAGACTAGAGACCAGACTATGTAATACATAACCAGACTGTCAAGGACGATATAATCCATATAAACAGGTACTCACAGATTACGGTAGGTTATGACAAAAAAATGGTAAATTTAAATATATTTGTATACGTATTCATATTCTAGACTTTTATCATACACAGACATCTAAGCACTGAAAAAAAATCCACATATTAGACCTTGTTGGGACTATACAACAGATTTATTTGTCCTGCTTTACGACTGTGAGAACTAGCCACTGAAAGTAGAGTATACTAAAAGATTAGAGGCCTCTGGTTAAGTGTACTTGTTAATATTTTCACAATAGCTAGAACAGCATGATAAGTAATACTGATATCAGACATAGCATCGGTTAGTTACCTGATCAATGAAGTTTCTAAGTCAATTCAGATATAAATATCTATGCTTCCTAACTTAGCATTACCTTGATATATACACGACCATCTTCCTTGCATGATAAAGGCAGTTTGTCACCATATTCAATATAGGTCCGTGCTCCACAACATTGAAGCTAGAATACAATGAAAAATTAACAAAAATGAATACATCTCTGTGAATTTTGTCCAGCAGAACACTTGTGTTTTTGTCACTGTGATAATTCTTGACAGCATTACTTATGACTAGGTGAAGACTGTTCCACATCTGCAACACGGATATTACATTTATATAAGTTTAATGTTGATTTACAGACTTACTTCCAGCTGATAACACAAACAAGCTATTCCAGTACCCAAATGCAAAAGAATTATGCATAAAAGTCCAACCGCATACTAAAATATAAAGGTCGGATAATGATTTGAATACTTCATAATCGATTATACCAGTGAAAGAATATCAGCGCTGTGCAAACATGAACCAAATAAACCCAAAAATCCAACTAAAATCATAAAGCACCCAACTATGGCTACACAGGTTATTATTCCTTTAACAGTCCCATGAAGATTATCACTATGCACGCGAACTGCATAATAGAAAATGCCATCAACAGCAATTATACAGAGTGCACATCCCTGAAAGATGAATATGCTGACTATGAAGTCTTACAAGGATAATTAGATTTGAAATTATTAGAGCTATCTGAAGATGTTTATAACCAAACGACGATTTGCAGTAACCCATTCAGTGTTGAAATGGGCAACAGACCAATAGACCGCTATTTCAATATAACAAAACAAAGTATCCGTCATTCAAGGCTTGAGAGCATTTAGTATTTTTTTGACTTTACTGATAGGTCTTATAATATTGATCACCTAAAAACAACAGTCCAAACTTTGAAAACGTGACGTATTTTTCCCCACCCTTGGATAAATATGGTGTTTTTGCGTCACACCATAAAAGGTCATGGATAAACTTTAAGTCAGGCTACGCTTGTTAGTTTTGACTGTTTTATAGTTTTTCGGGGTTACTATTTAGAAGGGAATGCTTCTAGTTCCTAGTATTTTTGATAATTTTGATAAAAGTTTTCAGATTTCATATCTGCTAATTGAATATGAAGCCAATATTAGCCTTTCTGATGAGTTTCTGTGCCTGTCTATGCGAGTAGGATAGGCGCATTGATGTTTCTTCCTCTGAAAGTGTGAGTCAATGCTTCCGTGGGGAAAAATGCTCCAAAGCTATGTAGTTCCTCCTTGGCTTTTGAACTCCCCCCAATGTCCTCTGAGATGTTCTGATCTAGTAGAGGAGGGGAATGAGAAGATGAATGAGGTCTGTAGTCATTGCTTAGAATTTTGAACATTGTGATCTGATCTCTCTGCCTACAGTATGACAAGGAGAGGAAATTCAAGGCCTTCCTCGTTTGATAAACTGGCCATAACAGGAATCATTTACGTTTATGTCCTTAGAGAGCTTTCTAGAGTGAATGATTTCCCTTTTAAGATAAAGGGTGGCTGTATGGATAGAGTTTTCCACTTTTTGCCTAACCAGATGGTTATAAATATGTAAACGTGCCACTGCTGATCCTGGCAAACGCTTCACGCATTCCCCGCAAAGATTTAAAACTATAAGTTTATTTATTGTATTATTTATTTCATTTTTATTTATTTTGATTACAGCTTGATGCCACACTGTATTTTCAGTACAAGTATGGAATTTTCAGCATGGATATCGGTAGCCCGAATTTCGCAGGCCGACCATAGATATCGGGTGTGCGTCGGCAGGAGATCGAACCCCTGGCCATGTGCATGGTCGGCGAGAGTCCTAACCACTGTGCTACCGACGCCACGGAACAACCGTGATCTCTAGTTCCGGTGTCATGACTTACTACGGTACCCAAATCCATATGAGTCTGAACTTATGGGAGTGTTATTCCCTCTATACCGTATCAACTGATGTCTGCGTGCCCAACACTCATGGTCTCTCATTTCGCTTCAATATTTGGACCAATCTAAAAATTTGTTGAGATCTCCCTGCAGCTTGAACGTGTCATTATCATCCTTTAGCATTCCAAAGTCTTAGGTCATCTGCATAGTAATTGTAGGATATTCAGTGAACCTCAGGGGCTTCGTTGGTGTACAAAATAATGTCAGTGAAGTGAGTACGATGTCTTAAGACTCTCCACTTTGTGCCATTTTTCAGGTAGAGGGGTGATCCTGACACTGGAGTTCCTTCATACAAGCCATTCCCAAATATAATTTAGTAAGCCATTCTTGATTCCAAGACTTTCCAATCTCGTGAGCAGTCTTTTGCATTCCGCCAAAGGCTTTGCCGACATCTTTGAAAACTACGTCGGTGGGTTTCTTAATTTCCCTTGACCTAATTCACCTTTCTCTAGCAGTTAGAAGGTCTGTCATGCATTACAGGTGTCCGTAGAGGCCATGTGTGATATCGACAACAAGTTGCTGTTTTTCAGATATGCCATGATGGTTTTCTTGATCATTCTTTCCAGTAACTTCACTATGTTGCTGGTGATACATATAGGCCTGTAGTTTGAAGAAGAGTATTTGGATCCGCCTCTGTGGATGAGATTTACTATGGCGTTACTCCATGCACGGCATTCCATTTAACAGGGACAGCGATTGAATAATGAAACAATGCATTCAATCCTAACATACACAGGCATGCTCAGCTTCTTATCAAGACACTTCCCTATATGCCCTTCAGAAATTCGTGAGACACCTTACAGTTCAGCTTGTCTTGCAGGTTCTAACCTCTCAGGTCTTCGAGTCCACTTCTCGATGAAATATCACTAATCTACCTCACGATAGTATTTTTATTTACTCACTATTATACTCTATTTTGATTTTAACCAACTACGCCTTTAATAAAGCCAAAGCTTACTCATTTGTTCGTATTCGTTGCCTGCCTAAAGTCTGGTTGCTTTGGTGGAAAAGACACAACTACACCCATGTTTAAACAAAGCTGTATTTTTATCGGAAACGTCATAGTTTACATGCTAAGACCAATAAAGTTTACAGTTTACAATTTATTTAGGATAGTAGGCTATATGCCTGTGTTAATCCTTTCGATTTGTTGCACACAGGAGGTCCAATCTCGCCTTGAATGAATCAACGGATGGCGCTGATACAACGTGTTCCGGTAGGGAGTTCCAATGGTTCACAATTCGATGCCAAAAGCGGATCTCCAGACGCAGACGATTCGACCGTGGTTTTTGAACCTTGAGGTGATGTCCTCGCAATTGGTTGGTGCTAGAAGGAAGAAATAAATTAGATAAATTAGCTCCAAAATCATTTCTTAGGATACGGTATGCTAGTATTAGGTCACCCCTAAGTCGTCTGTATGACAGCGGAAATAAACCCAGTCGACTGAACCTCTCCTCATATGAGAGGGTTGAGAAAGTTCTAATAAGTCTATTTCGTATTTGAAACACGGGCTCGCTGCCTGGATCCCATATTCCAAATGAGGTCTGATGTAAGTCGGATATAATGTACGAAATATTTCAGCGTCAAAATTCGCAAAAGCTTTGCGTATGGCCCATAATATTCGAAAACCTTTAGTGGCTGCAGCTGTACAGTTTGTTGTTGTTTTCAAGTCATGCTGCACAACCACTCCCAAGTCCTTGTACTCAGTGACCACTGGGAGAGTAATGCCATTCACTGAGTAATTGTGCATGTGACTATGGGATACATGCATAACTACACTCTTGCTTAAGTTAATCTCCAAGGCCCAGTGCTCACACTAATCACTTAACAAATTTAAATCTTCCTGCAAAGCAAGTTGATCACTGTCATCGTGTAAAGCCCTCCATATCTTGATGTCATCGGTAAACAGTAAGCAGGATGACTTAACTACCGATGGAATCTCATTAACATAAATCAGGAAAAGAAGTGGGCCTAGAATTGTACCCTGAGGAACGCCACTCTTAACCGATTCCCATGTTGATAAAACCCCGTTAACTAGTACTCTTTGTCTTCTGTCCTTTAGAAAGTCTTGAATCCAGTCGGCAACCACTTTATTGATTCCCAGACTACCTAACTTTACTAGAAGACCTGAGTGAGAAACCCTGTCAAACGCCTTGCTAAGGTCGATGAATATGGCATCCAGCGGTATATTAGCATCAGCTGAGCTTGCCCAACTTTCTCTGGTCAAAAGAAGGTTGGTCAAGCAAGAATGACCTGCTCTAAAACCATGCTGTTACACAGCGAAAAGTTTGTTCCCTTCAATGAACTGAATGATAGCATCACGAATTATTCTTTCTAGTAGTTTAACAACAATACTGGTCAAACTGACAGGACGATAGTTCTGAACTAAGTTTCTGGTTCCGGTTTTGAAGAAGGGACTAATGATGGCATCTTTCCAGTCTCTCGGACATTTAGACTGGTCCACAGACATATTGAAGATTACCGACAATGGCTCGGCTATGTTTTCAGCCAATGCTGTTAATATACGTGGGTGGAGTTCATCAGGGCCACTGGACTTACCAGGATTGAGCCTTAGAAGCCACTTTAGGACAGTATCCTTTCCAATGTATAAGGGTGCCATTTTCAAGTTACCTTCTGGAAAAGTTACAAAGCTGGTATCCATATTATCAGAGAATACTTGACTAAAGTGCTTGGACAAGGCCTTAGCCTTAGTCAAGTTATCCTCAGCCATGTTTGTCTGCTAATCTTCAAGCATAAGAGGTGGGATGGCATCACTCTTACGTGTTCTTCTCTTCATAAATGAGAAGAGTCTTTTTGGGCAGCCTGGTGAACTTTTAACTAACTGGGTTTCGTAAGCTATCCTTGACTGGTGAATCAAAGTTTTACACTGGTTTCTGGTTTCACAGTATTTCAGCCGGAACTGCTGTAGCCCAGTAGAAACAAAGAGATTCCAGAACCTTTTTCTCCGTCTTAGGAGTGTTATAGCTTGTCTATTTATCCATGGTGGCCGGTTTGTTGGCTTTTTAGGAACCCTGAAGGGAATGAAGTCAGTGGTAACCCTCTCAAGTGTATTCTCAAATCTATCCCATTAACATTAACTGACCAGTCGGCAGTCGAAGCACGCTCCTTTATAGTGACTATGTCAGCATGCCAAACACTAGGTCGGGATTTTGGTTGAAAACTGACTAAATCGTCAGCCCTAAAGTTAAAATCTAACACCCCATGATCATTGTTAGCTAGAGGTGGATGAATAACTAGACCATTCACGTCGTCGTTGTCATGAGTAAGCACTAAGTCCAGCAAGGAAGATCCTTGGGTAGAACCGAATCTTGTACTACCTAAGACATGTTGTGTCAGGGCATTTTCCATGGTAGTCAAGAGTAATCGGCTGTCAAACTTATTAGCGGATCCTGGAGATGTGACAGCTATCCAGTCTATATGAGGTGCATTAAAATCACCTCGAATAAGACAACTACTGTGTTTACTCCATTGTTTGAGGTGATCTAAAATAAAGTCATCACACTGACAAAAGGGACTTCTGTACAGAACACCAATGAGTAGATTGCCAGTTGCAAAGCTTACTTCACAGCTAATTACCTCACCTGTCCTACTCCCATGCGCCTCAGTTTTCACGGAAAAAACATGTAGGGAGTTGTTGATGTACAGAGCAACCCCGCCACCTCTACGACCCTTAATCCTGTCGCTGCGCAAGCAACTAAATCCGCATAGCTCAGGTGTGTCATCTAATCCAGAAACCAGCCATGTTTCAGTCATGGCCACAATACCTGGTCAAAGGTCTTCCACTAATACACCTAGCTCGTGAAATTTATTCCCGATACTACGTATATTAGTGTACACTACCTTCAGGCTCATGGTCCG